TGTATTTATTTACTAACAGAAACCAACAAATTGTGCAGAGCTAAAGTAAACAGAGTTTTTCGCTGAAAATACATCGTTCTTTAAAGAAATGAGTACCGAATAAGATGTTTTAATATGTTTCATATTTGTATATATTTGCACATTGTATTTGCAAATTATAATAATTATAATTGGGCTAGGAAAAGTGCAGGTTTTTTTACGAAAACCTTTCTTCCAATGAAGGAAGGACGTGTAGAACACTTTTTCAAAGCTACACGTATGACGGTTCCTATTTTTCAACTGCTTTTATCACTCATTCAAGACGACTTGACAAAAGAGTGTGTGCGAGAGGCAATATGTCCCGAGGAGCGACTTTCAATCACTTTATTGTAAAAAGGAATAAATTACCTAAACATACAAGTATGTTAATTCATATTATATGTTATTTGAGCACAGGTATTTGGCGCATGGAGTCTCCCATCAGGCGTTAGCTTGGAGTTACAAACTAGGAAAGACCACCGTTCGGAACATCATCTTGGAGACTTGTGAAATTATTTGGAAAGTTTTGCACCCATTCTATGTTAGTGAACCATCGGAACCCCAATACAAGGACATAGCTGAAAACTTTTACACCAAATGAAATATTCCAAATTGTGTTAGTGTTATAGATGGAAAACATATAGCAATAAAGTGCCCACGTAATGCTGGATCAAGTTTCTTCAACTATAAAAAATATCACAGCATTGTGCTAATGGCCACTTGTGATGGGAGATACACATTAACATCAGTCAGCGTTGGAGGGTTTGGTGGGCATAGTGATGGAGGTATTTTTTTTATTGTATACAAGTCCATAAACATAAATTTCAACACATTTTCTTAAGGTATTTTTCGAACAACACCTTTTGGACGAGCACTCCTAAACAATGAGTTACCTCTACCAATAAGCATACCACTAGTTGAAGGAAAATCACCACTTCCATATTTCTTTGCGGGTGATGCAGCTTTCCCTTTACGTTCCAACTTAATGCGGCCATATCCGGGAAAAGCACTCAACAGACAGCGACGGATTTTTAATTATCGTTTATCCAGTGCTCGTCGAGTGATTGAAAATGCATTCGGCATTTTAGTGGCGCGCTGGAGGATCTTCAACCAAACTATTGAAGCTGAACCCCACAATTGTGAAAAAATAGTTCTAGCAGCGGTAGCATTGCATAATTTTATCATGTTAAATGACCAGAAGCGCTGGTATTGTCCAGAAAGATACGCCGATTACGAAACAACGGATCACCTAATCCGTGAAGGAAACTGGAGCTTGGATATAGAGGATGAAAGGTCAGCACCCAAGCCATCTCGGTCTTTCATGCGCAATGCAAGCAAAGAAGCTTTTAAGCTGAGAAATGATCTTGCTGACTTTTTCGAAAATGAAGGTGCTGTGGACTTTCAAAATAAAATTGTTGAACTTTTGTATGGAAGCGCACAGTAACGCACGGTGCACATTAGAGCGATACGATAAGCGATATAATATGAAATCCACATCGACATGCGCCCAGTGCACATTACAGCGATACGACACGCGATACCATATGCGGTGTGATAGAAAACCGGGTCGCTCGGGCAATACGCAGGCGATATATGTCGCCGCAGTGTCGCTGTCGTGCAAGTGTGGACAGTTTTCATCGCTTCCTACCAATTTCCCACGTACTCAGCATATCGATGTCGCTTTCATATCGTATCGCTTATCGCATCACCTATCGTATCGCTCCAGTGGGCACCGTGCCGAAGAGTACAACTCCACAACAAGTTTTTCAGGCATTCAGCAATGGCTGAATTGTGTAGCTGAAAGCCTTAAAAGCGCCAAACGCCTATTGTGGAGTTGTACTCTAAAAACTTTGAAAACTGATCTGAAATATATGTATACGCATAGTTGCCAACTTGGTGCTTTAGGCATTAGATTTAGTGCTTTTTGAAAATTAAAACGCCAAAAAAATTACTTAGTGCCTAGTGCCTTTTTAGTGCATTTTTTAATTAAAATTACTCCAAGATGGTTAAAACCTGAAATAATTTGAAATATTATAAGCTGTGGTGTCTCATGAAGATGCGGAATTTACAAGAATATACAAATTCAAATGCACTAAAATACAACCATAATTGATAAAAAGCTGAAGTTGCAAACCCACCTTGTTGAATTCTATTCGCGTTGAAAATGCTATTACGCAGGTAAGTTAAGTATTTATTTGTTTCTTTTCTAATTGTTTGTACAAATTTTGATTTTTTTACCACCTGAGTAAAACACATCCTTTCTTGGTGCTGAATCCAAATCTGGCCGCACAATTGCTCTAGTACTAGATATCCTACCCCCAGATTGCCAAAAACACGGTTTTTTGCGATATTTGTGGTTATCAGCCGGGCTCCCATTTTCATTTACTTTTGCGTTTTCGTAAAAATCGTACATTTTTATTTTTGGGTGCCCTTGAGTTCGCAACATTTTGTTATCGATAAGTTCCATTTTCCACATCGTTTCCAGCATTCTTAAAAGCCATCCCTTGAAGGTATGCACCAATTATCGCACATGTATCGTCCGCACCAAATCGTAAATCTTCGTTGCTTCGATAAATTTTCGTTGCCCAAAATGGAGATGTGTATAATAAATAGTGAATTAAACAAATAAAATCAACATAAAAAGTTAATTTTAGGACGCCAAAAATATCGCAAGATATAATGGGCATAATCAAAAATAAATTTAAACTAAGCTAGCTTGGCATTTATGTTAATTTTGCCATTTACTTTTCATTCCACCGTCTCATCGGCAACCGATTTGAAACCGCAAAAATTTTCCGATTTGCGAAAATTGGAGCACGTAATTTTGCGATTTGAAAACTAAAACGCTAAATTTTTGCGAATTCGGAAACGGGAGCCCGGCTGTATATAATGAAAACATCAAATTGTTGCGATTCGATTTTTGTTCTCGAGATATACTAGTTTTAATAGTACTTCGGTATTACGTCGTAAGCATGAGGCATCATGGCATGTGTAGAGGCTATTCAATCGTTATGAGCGAAAACGTTTTTTGTATTGATTTATGTATGTATTCTTGTAATATTGTTAATTTTTTTGCATTTGTTAAATGCAAACTGTAACGAAAAAAGCATCCTTTGATTAAAAAAAATTTGGTGCTTTTAGTTTGGTAAAACGCCTTTTTCCAAGTTTTTGGTGCTTTCTGAAAATAAAAAGTTGGCAACACTGTGTATACGTGTCAGACAAAAAATAGGCTTTTATAGTCCTCAAAAATTTAGTGTAAGAAAGTACAAGTTTCAATTTATTACTAAACCCCGTTGATTTTTGATAAATTTTCGAAAAGAACTACTACATAAGCGCTTTGTATGGAAGGAAATGCATAACACTGTCAGCAAAAAAAATAACAAAAATTAACCGGATTTCGCAGTAACTTGAAACTTGTACTTTCTTACACTAAAATTGTATGGACTATAAAACTGCATACCAAATTTTTTTCTAAAAATTCATATTTTAAAGCTTTCAATTTTTAATGAAGCTTTATCGAATTTTCCAAATTTTTTAACAAAGTTTGAAATTTGGACTTACATTGTTTTTGTTAGATAATGAGCTACACTTGTATAAAAAAATAGTAGGCAAAATAAATAGCAAAAACTTGTTAAAATGTCGCGACCCTATTTTTTGTCTGACGCTGTAAATACCTTTTTCGACCTTTTTTTCCTGAAAAACTAGCTCAAAAAAGCTTTTTAAAGGTATGAAAAATTTTTTTTTATACACGTATTCCACCCGCTTAACTTAGCAGTAATAAAGCTTTTAAAAAACACAAGTGTTCCGACTTTCATTGCATTAAATGCCTTTCACATTTTAATTCACTTAACAAAAACAACAATTAAATACAAAAAAAAATAGTTTTTCATTGCACTTCATAGCGATTAATTAAAAAAATATAACCATAACTAAAATTATACACAAAACATACATACACTGGCAATCAAAAGTGAGTGCATGGTGTGTTTTGTTTAATATTTGCAATTTTTTTCATTTTGACCTTTTTAATTTAAATTTTTAGAAAAATTCTGAGTACGCAGATATGTCGGTTTTTAATTCTAGTGAAACAAGATCAAGTTTTAAGCGGCTAAAAAATCACGTTGTTTTTTAATGAATTTTTTTTTCCGACGGATTTTGCGGTTTTTACCATATAAAAGGGAATTTCGTGTAGAATAATATACGCATGCCCGTTTACAAACAAAATTAAAAAAATAACGCTATATATTACAAATTGCACTTGTTATATGCATTAAACCGCAAAATCCGTCGGAAAAAAATTCATTAAAAATCAACGTGATTTTTTAGCCGCTTAAAACTTGATCTTGTTTCACTAGAATTAAAAAACCGATCTCCGTACTCAAATTAAAAAGGTCAAAATCTTGACGAAAATTCGTTGAATTTTTCTAAGTTCTGTATAAAGTTTGATAGTTTAACTTATGTGGTTTTAATTAAAGCATGAACCATATTGTTATAAAAAAACAACAACAAAAAATTCACTTTAAAAACATTGCAAGTATTAAACAAAAAACACCATGCACTCACTTTTGATTGCCAGTGAAAATAGACTTCGACAGTCTTGCGTCCTAATTAAAGTGAGGAGGATTGGGTGCTATGCCCTCCACATAGTCTCCATGGCATTGCAGTAATTTAGAACATCATATACCGCCTTCTTTTTTACGGCCTTTATCGGTATTCGCTTCACTTTGGCTTCCACCGCTTTAAGGATGTGATGCAGGTCTTCATCGTCGTCTGCCTCTCCTGAGGGTTTGCGGCTTGCCACTAACTCTTTCATTACGCCGACAGCTTCTTTTAAATGCTCTTGAGCATCAGTGGCCTTATTTTGCCTTTTAGAGTGTTTTGCGGGAGTGGTATCCACAGTATCTGTGGACATATCTTTCCCATCATCGTCATTGCAAAATTCAAGTATGTTACTACTAGTCCGAGTTCTGAAAACGTTTTCAAAAGTTAGTTATTTTTAGAATACTTTTTTAAACCAAAATATATGCCTTCGAGGTTTAACGTGTTCTCTCAGAAACATCATACTGTCTATGAGAGGCCACGGCTCTATTTTGGGGGCCCCGCTGCCAGACGGTGCTTCTAAGCGCCGCAACTCCTTTCCAAACCTGTCTCGTAGGCTTGCCCAACTACGCATGCATTCCTGTTCTAAAATAGTATGAAAATTGTTAATTAATTTTTCTATACATTCATAGTAGACATACATATGTACTTACCAGTGCCTCCAACTTCGTTAGCTATTTCACGCCATCCCGCTGTCTTCAACTTAGGCAGCCTGAAGCCTTTCATGGCTTTGTCATATAAAAAATCACGGCGACGTACCGCATCAATCAATAACTCATCAAAATCGGTCATTTTTCTTAGTTTTTTTTAAGTTCGTAAATTCAATTTAATTTAGGCGCCTATCGTTTTTGTCAACAAACAACTGTCAAATTGTCGTAAGAAGGCGGAAGAATCTAAAATCGACAGATCTTTGCGATGCATACCGTTCCGCCGCGTTCATTATATCTATTTGCATGCATTACACATACAATAGAAAATTAAGTGACAGTTCACTCCGTTCCGTTACTTCCATTATAACCCAGGCTTCCATTATAATAAGGCAGAACGTACCGGGCGCAATTTACTGCAAGCATTTGACAAAGCTGATAGAAGCTGTTCGTTATGTTCTCTTCTTTTGTTGTTGGCAGGCCACTGATGATGACATCCGAAGATATGAGGTTATTCTCATGCTCGCTCATTTGTTCAGTCAAAGCATGTACGTCATTGCGAAGCTTTTCACACTCCATCTCGTTTTTTTTTCATACGCTCATTAACGTCTTTAAGCGATCTTTTTAAATTTGCAATTTCCGTTGTTATCTCACCAATCCTCTCCAAGACACGCTCTTCAGATTGCCTCATACGTATTATTAGCCGTTCGACTATACTTTGCTTATGAGATTCGAGGTGAGCATCTAATTTTTCGAACCATACATTAAGAGGTAGATTGGTACTCTCAGCGCTCTGAGGCTTCTCTGCAGCACTGAAGGAGTCTTAGGTGAAGGGGAAGACTTACGTGTAGTTTTTCTTGTTGAAATTTTTGACATGCAACAACAAAGCAAAATTAAACAATCTAGAATGCACCAAGTTTTTAAGATTTTAAATCCGCAACTACGTTCGCAGGTGACTTAAAGTTGCTATGATATCGGCACACTCGGATAGTTTAACCACTCACAGACACTATTGTATCAATTTAACCAATTAAAGCACACGGTGGATCGAAGAAAATATGAGGGCTATTCGCGATCCGGTGCAAATGGCCTAGCATCATTGCATTGCAAATTTGTATTGCAAATTATTTGCAATACACAAACAAAATACACGCATTTGCATTTGTCATGGCTTGGCAAATTTGCAATACCGAAAATCCATAGCATAAAAAATGCTAAGCATTGCATTCATAAAGAAAACCAAAGCTGATGCACAAAAATTGTTTTGCAAAAGCTTTACCATGACAGTTTAATAAAGGTCGCTCACAATCCATGGCATATTTCTGCAATTGCATAAATTTGTCAGCTGTTATGCACCGAATTGCGAATAGCCCTATGGATAATAGTACAGCTACTTAAGAATGCGTCTACTCGCGTGACATTTGTGTATCAACTACTGTAACTAATGTAATTGCATTTACCCAGCTCAGGGCGGAAGTAAAAAGTAAAGAAGATATTAATGGTAAAGTAAATTTTTTTGATTTTTTAAATATTAATATCTTCTGGTTCTATAGACTCACCTTCTTTTTTTTTGCTAAACGGTAGGTATTCCACACCACGGCTACTTCGGACCAGGGTTGCTAGGAATATTCGCATTCGCAATAATCAATGAGGAGCTTTTGAAAATGCGAATGTTGTGCAAGTGCATCGATAAAACGTATATTTGCAAACAAAATGGCAAATTATACCCAATATTTTATGCCTGTGGTCGTGGGAGTATTTGTGTAACAAAATTGGTCACATGTCATATTTATGAACTTTGATAAAAATTTATTTAAACATATTCACCCTCATTGCGAGAGAACGTGTCGAATACAAGTCGTTTTAACAAGCTTTTATTTAACTTGGTCATCCCGCGGAAATTTCCTATCGATTTTAAACTAACTTTCCGACAAGCTACAGACTTGAAATTTTCAGCATTTTCAGTTTCAATCACGATGACAATGCAATATAAAATATAAATTAATTCCCTAGATGGTCCAGGGGTCTTGATACAAAGGCGGTCAAAACACAGTAAAATTTATAGCTAACAGAGCGTAATTTGCCAAAGAACGTAAAAACGCTATGAATTTGTTAAATAATAAGTATAGTTTCAGGCGCTAGTAAAAGAAATACCGGAAATTAGCTTCAGCTGTGTTTAACTGGCCAAACTGTTAAATTTCAGGCACTTCTGTTAAGAATTACATTATTTGGTTTCCTCACACAGGGAGTTAGTGAAATACAGTGATACGTTAAAAGGCACGCAAAATGCACATGCATGCATCTACAAAGTATATACTTCTAATATACCGCAGGCGAAAAAATTTCAGTTAGTACGATGTGCTTCTTTTGAATACTGTTAAAGCGATGTGGATAATGCTACATAGTCGTGTGCCATGGGATGTTATAGGTAAACGGAAAATAATTGTCTATAATTAACACAGATACCGAAGTGGTCAAAAGGCTTAGCTTAGGTGAAAATGCTTCAGTTTAAGATAGAATTTACATTTAAAGAAGTTTTCTATTTAAACCAACAAGATAAAATCTTTATAAGAGCTGTTTGCTCATAGAGCGCTACTGCTATGCATATAACAGAGAGTAGGTGACTTCGGTAATGATGTTTAACTGGAGGTTAGTGTTAGCCAGAGATGGCATAAACAACCCTTGGGGCCGTTTTTTCAATGTCTAGTTATCACTACCTCCCAGTTAAACGTCATTATCGACATTTTTCGACCGGTTTGTGTTAACCGGATATTGAACGGCCCGGTTGTTCAATGTTTGATTAGCACTAATCAGAGGTAGAAGCTCTGGTTAAAACCGACTGCTTTATCGATCACATGTTATATGCACGATGTCGAAAAATCGATAATAATGTTTAACCGGCAAGTAGTGATAACCAGATATTGAACAACGGCCCTTATAGCCCAGTTATGCATACTTGCACTGCTATACCATTTTTACGCAAAAATAAAAACTCAACAGAATTCTACATGTTAAGTGCTATGCGTTGGGTAACCGCTTACACGCAAATCCCATTTAACAGATTCTTATGTGACAACTCTCATGCATCGGTAAGTATGCCTAACTGGGCTGTTAGTCAATTGTTGTCGTTTGACAGCGTGAAACCCTCTGTAGTGCGTTTGCGATTCAATTTCAGCGTTCTACGTAAAAATTAGTTAATCAAATAATCTCGTGTTAAAGACATAAATCTGTAAAAGTGCTCTAGCAAGGTTACAAAAATTTTAATTTCCTGTGCAATCATCTTAAGAGCGCACATATGAACATATGTACGGATATACATATCGTCGATGTTTTTGTAAAACCGCCCATCGGCCAATTGCTAAACCGCCTATGTATCTTACGGCACTCAGATTTTACAGGAGATCGAAAAAACGGTTTTTCTTTGAAGACATTGCCTAGATAGACGGTATTTTCTCTAGCCAATATTTTACAAATCTATTGTTTTAATAACGATTTTACGATTCCTATGGAAAAAATACTGGTTGCCTGGAGTTAAAGGTTACCAAATCTCATTTTTGTCACAATGACGATTTAAGCGGTTTTACAACTGGCCGATGGGCGGTTTTGCAAAAAAAATCTACGTTATGTATGTATGTAGTTAACTTACATACATATGTTTCCACAGAATGCTATATATTCTTGCAATACTACATATAAATACTAGTTCGTTCGAAAGCAGGTATGCTTTTCATATTTAAGTATGTATAAATTTCCAAATAATTTGCAAAAATCTCCACATACAGAACAAACATAAAACCAAAATGTATACTATGCACTTATGTTAGCTTTAAATTTTAACGTTTTCGCAGTTTCCTATGTCTGTTGTCATCTTAAGCAGGGATCACAGTTGAGTAGTTCCGCCATTTTTTCCATTGTACAATTTTATCGCTACCTGAACTCAACGTGTTTTGCTCAACGTAGACAGATGATCGCAAAGATTTACGCAGCTTATATTAAATGTACTATGCTCATATATGGAGAGTCATCCTTTAATAAAAATATTATGTCCTGACTATATAAAAGAAAACTAAAAAGTTCAAAATAAAATAATGTAAAAAAATTTATTTTTTTAAACAAGCTTTTATTTAACATGTACAATCAAAAGAATAAAATAAAGTAGTGAAGAAAAGATTTTATAGCAAGAAAATCTTGTAAAAACTGCACTAAAATCAATAAAATTAAATAAGTTAAGATCTCGTTAAAGTTACTAAAACCCGAATAGTAAAAGGAGTTACTCAAACTCTAACGAAAATTACTAACCATTTGTACTAATTTACTTCGTTTTTAAAAAAACTTGTGGGCGAATTCAGCGTACATGCATTGTTGGTTAGGTATGTATATGTACGTATGCAGATATGTAAATGCGGGTTCGCTTTTCGCGTGACAACATTTTTTAAAAACGAAGTAAATCAGTACAAATTGTTAGTAATTTTCATTAGAGTTTGAGTAGCTCCTTTCACTATTTGGCTTTTAGTAACTTTAACGAAAGCTTAACTTATTTTATTTTATTAATTTTAGTGCAGTTTTTACAAAATTTTCTTCCTAAAAAATTTTTCGTTACACTACTTTATTTTCTTTTGATTGTACATATTTAATAAAAGCTTGTTTTAAAAATTTTTTTTTTCTATTATTTTATTCGAGAGTCGAATCGTAACGAAAATTTCACGTCATTGCCTAAAAATTCCACTCGACTAGTGTATTAAATCGAAAGTTTGGCAGCACTGTATAGTTTTCGACGATTTCCTTCGCTTACTTATTTCAGCATGACAGTAGACAATTTTGTTTACTTGTAGGGCAATATTTTTTTCATAGGGAAATATGTACATTGGCTCCTTGGCTAAAAGCCTCTGTGGTAAAACTGTCCCCCTACGTCTCCCTTCTTTGCTATTTAGAGTCAAAGATTAAGCTCCTAGAATAGGGATTTCCAGCAGAAATTGTCAACGTCTGACCCCCGCGCCGCGCTCCGCCGTTCACGCGCCGCGCGGCGGCGTGAGGGAGCGGGACGCGAAGGAGAGTAATTGCATGTTTAAGGTGACGTTGTAGTTCAAGGCGGTTTAGTAGTTTTGTTGCGAACTTTTTCCATTGTTTAAATAAAAGAAATATAAAAATTTGAAAG